TATTTGTATTATTTTGGTAACGTTTTACTTATTTTGTATAATCATTGTACAAAATAGCAGGTCAATTGCATTGTATTGGATTCGTTACATGCGTTTAGGGATATTGTAGCTGAGACACGCTCAAATAAGCTTCAACGAATCAGTGAGCTCCATCCTCTTTACTTGCCTCTACAGTATCCTCTTTTATTTCCTTACAGGGAAGATGATTATCGAGAGGATATCTGTTTGAGAGAATCTTCGCTTGCTGATAATAGAAAATGGAGGAAGGTAAGCATGCGAGAGTTCTTTGCATATCTAATCCAGAAACGGCGTTGATAACATTTGTTACTTTTGCATTTCAAGAAGTTATTTCAGCAGTTCTGTGTTGATGGATTTTCGATGGTAGAGTCACACAGGTTGAATATCATAAGGTTCAATCAAGATCAACTTAGGGTTGACATGTACAAGGGTATCGAAGAAAATATTTTTAAAGGAGACACTGAGGGTAAATCAGTTGGACAACGCATTATAATTCCATGGTCGTTCACCGCAGGTCCAAGGTATATGTTTAACAACTTCGTTGATGCTCTTCAAATATGTAACTGGATTGGATCTACAACCCTCTTCATTGTCATCACATGCAATCCTCAATGGCCAGAAATACAAAGGGTGTTGAAAGATACAAATCTCAGGCCGGAGGATCGGCCAGACATTCTTTGTCGTGTGTTCAAGATGAAGCTCAATAGTATGATGACAGAAATCAAGAAAGGTTGTATATTCAGACGTATTACAACATGTAAGTATTTAATTAGATCTCAGTTTATAATTATACATTTACTTCATTCATATAAATTAAAAAAAATTGCTCATGTGTGAGTTTAACTATTTATTGCTTCCTTAACTAAATTAATGCATATTTTTTTAATACCATATGTTTATATTTTCTATGCAGATGTATGCTTAATTGAATTTCAGAAACGAGGTCTACCGCATGCACATATTTTATTGTGGTTTCATAATAACGATAAGACCAATAACCCAGAAGAAATTGATAGGATCATATGTGCTGAAAATCCTGACAAAGTAAACGACCGAAAGATGTACCAGTTGGTGGAGAAGTATATGATACATGGACCGTGCGGTCAGGCGAATTTGAAATCTCCCTGTATGAAGGATCGAGTTTGCACGAAGCGATTTCCAAAGCCATTTGTGCAGCGCACTGAATCAGATGCAGATGGTTTTACTGTGTACAGGAGAATGGAAGATGGCAGAACAGTTACGAAGAAGAAGACTACTCTTGACAATGGGTTTGTAGTCCCGTACAATCGTATATTGTTGAGTAAATACCGATCTCACATTAATATCGAGTCATGCAACCAGAACAAATCAATCAAATACATGTTCAAATGCGTAAACAAGGGGCATGGCCGAGTTACGGCGGCATTTTTTGAAACACGCAATACAGATAGCGGTGCTGAGATTTGTGATGAGATAAAGATGTACTACGACTGCAGATATCTTTCGGCATGTGAGGCAATGTGGAGGTTTGCGAACTTGAGTTAAAAGAGGATTCTCAAACTTGGGCGCCAAGGAAAAAAAGATTTTCTATTGGTAGGCTTGCGAATGTTCCCCCTGGAAAAGGAAAAGACTAATACCTTAGATTGCTACTTAACATTCAGAGAGGATATACGTGCTACGAGGACATTAGAAAAGTTTTTGACACCGTCTACCCTACGTTCAGGGATGCATGTTATGTGTTGGGTTTATTAGATAACGACAAAGAATACATATATTCAATAATAGAAGTGAATACTTGGGCACCGAGGGATTATATAAGAAGGTTATTTGTACTTATGCTTCTTTCCAATAGCTTAAGTCGTCCCGAACATGTTTGACAAAGTTGTTGGTTGGATTTGGCTGAGGGTATTGCTTACAAACAACAAAGTCTTCATATCCAGATATGGCAAATTGTATAACACATTATTCAATTAGATTTTAAATATTACTCATCTTTTTAATATTGTCGTCTCTCACCGAAATAGAAAAAATATTGCAAAGCAATGGTAAAAGCTTGCGAAATTACGCGCCCATGCCAGTTCCAATCGAATTCTCAGCGGATGACACAGTAAACATATTGGTGTTAGATGAACTGGATTACGACCGGTTTGAAATGGGTAGGGAACTTCAACGGTGTCTTGCTTGAATTACATACGTGCAAACAAAGATTTATGATGTAGTCATGGATGTTGTATCCAATGACCGTGGTGGAATGTTCTTTCTATATGGCCATGGTGAAACGGGAAAGACTTTTCTATGGTAAACTCTTTCGGCTGCAGTTCGTTCCAAGGGAGAGATTGTAATTAACGTTGCATCGAGTGGTATAGCATCATTATTGCTCCCCGGTGGTAGAACAGCTCATTCTCGATTCGGACTACCCATAAATGTACACGAGAGTTCCACCTGTAGCATATTGCAAAAAAGTCCACAGGCGGAGTTGTTCATAAGGGCAAAGCTTATTATATGGGACGAGGCTCCTATGATGCATAGATACTGTTTTGAAGCGCTTGACAAGACAATGAAGTCAATATTACAGGTTGACAAACTCTTTGGTGGTAAGGTGGTTGTTCTTAGAAGAGATTTTAGGCAGATTTTACCAGTTGTGCTCAAAGCATCAAGGCAGGACATAGTACATGCTACGATAAACTCCTCTCCGCTGTGGAATTTCTGTCGTGTCATGAAGTTGACTAAGAACATGAGATTGCAGTCATGCTCTTCTCCATCTAACGTGGATGAGGTAAAATAATTTGGAGACTGGATACTGAAGGTTGGTAGTGAGGATGTTGGGGAACAAAATCATGGTGAAGCTTCGATAGTGATTCCCGATGACATGTTGATTGGTGATTCAGAAGATCTATTCAGAGACCTACTGGAATTCGTTTACCCGGATTGTTGAGTACATGTATGATTCAGATTATTTTCAAGGGAGAGCAATTCTTGCACCAACTAATTAATGCGTCGAGTTTGTGAACGATCACTTAATGTCTCTCCTTCTAGGAGAGGAGAAGGTGTACCTGAGCTCAGATAGTATGTTTAGGGACGAGCAAACAATGGAGGATAATGCAGAAATTTATTCGACTGAATTCCTCAACACAATAAGATGCTCCGGACTTCGTTCTCATGCGTTGAAGTTCAAGATTGGTGCACCCGTTATGCTAATAAGAAACATCGATCAAGCTAAAGGATTGTGTAACGGGACCAAACTTCAAATTATTAGAACTGGCATTCACGTTCTGAGTTGCAAAATTCTTTCCGGAAAAAATATCGGTGACATGATGTTCATTCCTCGGATGACTTTAATACCATCTACCGGACTGCCAATTAAATTTCAGAAAAGACAGTTTCCGTTGATTGTTTCTTTTGCAATGACAATCAATAAAAGCCAAGTTTCAAACTCTTTCGCATGTTGGTTTGTATCTTCCTAAGCATGTCTTCAGCCACGATCAACTATATGTTGCACTGTCCAGAGTTACGAGCAGAGGTGGCATTAAAATATTCATCAAGTTGGATTCGGGTGAACTCACCAATGTTACTAGAAATGTCGTGTACAAGGAAGTATTTCATCGAATTTGAAGGTAGATAATATTTTCATATTTACCAATTATTCATGTAACATGTCTTTTTTTTAACAACTTATTCTTTGGCAGGTGTTTCTTCTCTATATAATTTCCCCCGTGCGATGTTATTTTCAGTCATGTCCCTAGGATGCTCATTGCAAATTTTATTATCTTTAAGATTTAATTTTGACGATATACTAATATTTAATATTATTCTTATGATGTAACTATGAAGAACATGATGCTTCAATATTGTTGGTCGCGTTTTGTATTTAAATTCAATGAGCGTAATAATTTATATATGCGTAAATTTATTTTTCAGACATGTATTTCCAGTTGAAAATATGCCACCCCGTGCATCGCACGGGTGAATACTAGTAATTCTTTGTACCCAAATACAACCTAATAAAACATTCCAACATAAAAAATTATTGATAACTACACTAATGTGTTTGTCACAATCCATTTTGTATAATGATCAAACACTAAATATAAGGCTCAACCACAACACTTTCAACATGATCAAAATTTATAATACATTCCATCAAATAAACATCTTCACAAACCAACATCAACATGAATGTTTGTTTGTGAATGTGTATAATGATGATATGTCCAATGCACTTCACCCGATATAGCAACTATGTAAACAATAAATTGACCACAGATAATGATAAATGACTATTGGTACAACAAGAAAAGTCTCAAAGCCAGCTCATTGTTTTTCTTTTTTATACATATGTCCAGTAAAATTAAGTTCGAAAGTAGTTGTACTAATTCGATGATAATTTAGCTGCTGCATATATAGGCCTAGTGCACAACAACACGCAAGTTTGATGGTTAACTCAAAAGCATTTGCGGTGAACGATAGAAGGTCCAGTTTCATCGTAATCGGCTTTTGTTGAGATTCAAAGGGAATTCAAAACAAAGCAGAAAGAAACCACAATGAAAAGCTAACCATATAAGAGATAGTTTATATTGGATAAGATTACCTTCACATTTCTGAAACCTAGCTTCAAAACCTATAACAGCAATTCGTAAATTATGGCGAATATCAAATTCCTAGTAAAAGCATATTTTCTCCATATATTTTAGCAGCAAAACAGATCTGTCCATCATATCTTCTTAAATAAATTACACTGAAGTTATCACATACTATATATGATCTCTCATGTATGGAAGTGATAGGGCAGCTATAGGGGCTGTATAGCAATGAGATGCTAGAATCAACAAAAAGGGTCCTTACTGGGAACACAGAGCAAAAGATTAATTAAAAATATTCAATCCAGGAATTATTTACCGACTATCAGAACATGCAATATCAACATCAACAGCTTTTATTGCTATGGAGATGTGATTACAATGTGTCGCGTTTAGAACAAAGGTATGATCACTGAAGATCTTTAATCTTTAACAGGATTTATCACTGTAAATTCAAAATTTCTGTTGAGTTCTCTTATAAACATATTCTAAAAGGTATTTGTTCTGTTCACTTATGAGACATTCATAAAACCTTACCAGTCATAGAAGCAGTTCCTCCACAAAGTATAGTATTTTCCAACAGCTGTCGATGATTCTCGGTTGACACAGTTGAAATACAACGAACAAGCTGCTCAACTATTCCATGTGCCTCTAAACCTAAAATTGATGGTTGAAATAAGGCCTCACCAACCGTATACCTCTCTCTTCCAATTTTTATCACCTGAAATGGAGAACACAAAAATCTCAGCGTAAACAATTTAGAAAATATCCAAGTATTAGAAAACAAGCAAAATATTTTAGCTACATATTGAAATATTGCTAGGAAGTTGATGCCTAGAAACTTTTAACTCTAAACCTAAGAAAGAGGCACCAAGACGTGCTTTTCAGTTCTGGAGAACCCAAAAGTGGACACAATTTCTTCTCCAAGCACACTAAGCTGCTATGCAGAAACTAAACTCACTAAAAATATCGGTCTTACTTGCCTCCACATAGATATACATACATAATCTATAGAATATACAAGACTATCATTTGAAATTGAGAAAAAAAAAAAAAAATTAAGCCAGAATGCATGATGGATATCAAGCATCAATTCAATGCATACAGCTTACATGCATTGTGAAAAAACTACCGCGTTTTCAGACATCCTAAAGTGAAAATGCATCTACAAAGTCAAAATTAGTTGATAATCTCTGCCTGTGATTTAAAACCTCAGTAAAACATCAAGTGAGAAACATAGATTAACCTGTCCATCAGGCAGTGTGTGCAGCTCCTCAGGGCATGCCTTCTGCATCTTTTCATAAGCCGCATCATCCTCAGCAGAGCATGCATATCGCTCCTTCAACTTTTCAACGTCGGAGATGCTTAAGTTGACAAGCGGATTGGATTTATGGAGTTCCTTAGCAAATAAGTTTGTCAAATCCAAACCCCCTACTTCAAATCTTCTTGAAGATATATGCTGCACAGCACCTTCAATTACTGATGCAATATCTGAAAATGAGAAAAATATTTTTTAGTCAAAATTGCTCTCTGTAGCTCCTTTAAAACAGAATAAACCTACAAAAGGTGAAATGAGACAGTGACTAAACTAATTCATATAACATAACACTGATGTAAGTGAAGCTATTGTGCACATGTTTGACAGAATATTATTTAACAACTACTACTACTACTACTAAAGGGAAAAGAGAAAGTAATAATAATAGTCAAGTAGCTTGATTCTATTCTTTTATGAGAACTGTTTTTGGTCGTTTCAAGAAAAAGCAGGAATACACTTAATATGCACCGATGATTGGCACAGATGCAAGGCCATTGCACACAGCATAACATTCCAAACAATTTGGATCCAAAAAAGAAAAAGCATAGCACCAAAAGTTGAAGGGGAAAAGAGATTTAAGATTATAGGGTAAAGAAAAGCAGAAGAGCTGTAGTTTATTTTAGCCAAAATGCCTAATTGTATGTTTATACGCCAAAAACTATCTCCATTCTTTTTCATTATGCTCCCTTCACTTCAATCCCATCTGATTGTGTTCGCTAATACTTCAACTTCAAGCTTCATGAATCCCCTTTTCCCTTATTTCCCCCCATTTTAATAATGGTTATGCTCCAAAACCTGTAATAGTTCTGAACACTCTTTAATACTCTCCTATAGAAGGGACACAAGTCAGACAATAATTTCGAAAATCGATGGCCGCCTTTTAGTTAATTGAACAAACACTAATCCATCTCAATTGCTGAATTAGTTTTTGGCTCATATCAGTAAAAGGGTTACAAAAATCAACCAGACCTTGAAAGTAGAAACCCAAAATTCGCATATCAGTTAATCCTTTTCCTTTGGTGCTTTTTGTTCATAAGATGGCAAAATATACCAACATGTATTAATAGCTCAGGCGACCAAGATGATTGAAAAAGTGAAAGTATTAACTTACCACATAGACATCTTCTTCAACACACTTTACATAAAAACTCTAGCAAACTTTTCCTATCAACATGTATTAATAGCATAGGACTCTGTTATGGAAAAAAAGGTAAAGAATAAGACATCAAATGGCATGTAACCATAACAATTTTGATACATGCTTGTGCTCGTGAATACAAATTCATAACAAATGCCTAATGGTGTTAAGAATGTACTGTAGCATATTGAACCCAATCAAAGTCTACATACCATCTCAAACGTACCAGTTCCTTAAGAAATTGCAGGAAAACAAATTAAGCAACACTTACCTAGCTTGCCATGGCCAATATCAACAGTGCATCCAGAGATCCTCCCCACTGCATAAAGTGATAGTACTGCTTGCTCAGATGCATAAAAGCCAGAGATGTTGAACTTTTCAAACATCAACTGGACCAATTGCTCTCTAACTGCCTGTTCCACACATATGTATATTAATAATAAAATTATAGAAAACAATAATTATTTCCA